CCCCAAAACCCCAAAACCCCAAAACCCCATAACACGGGGCACAGTTAAATATTAAAACTCGATATTAACCTCCCGATCAGAGTATCATCGAGCAAAGATTTTTTAACTAGTTGACTCTTTGGTTATCTCCGATAGGTGTAGCAATTCTTGCACATGCTTTTATCTTGGATAAAGAACAAGACTGTCCACCAATATAGTCCATCTGAAGTTTATGTGGTTTAAGATGTCTTGAACCGAATCCAAAAGATAATGGAGTAATAGTTTGATCATAACTGCACTCATACAATGAACAAAATCCCTCCATTTCAAGATCCCTGGATCTCTAAGAACTTAAGTTGTTACTGTTTACCCATTTGGTACGAAGATCTCATCAATAAAGTCTTATTATTGTTAATAATAAATCTAACAACAAAATGAATGCTGCCGATCTTCGTCAATAGGGCCATTTGTGAATTCGTAAAAGTAAAAAATCATTAAATCACCTTCTTGACTTCTCTTTTATCTTCTCTGAGAATAGTTGATTAGAGCTTCATTAATTTCTTTATAGAAAGTACTAAATATTCCAATTCAGTAATCAAGATATTATTTCTATAAAACCAGAAAGAGCCAGCTTTTATCACTTGGACAAAAAGAAAAGTTTTAGATTTCTTTTATAAAAACCCATTTATTTAAATGAAAACCAGCCAACTAAGAGTAACTAGTCTAAAAAGAAAACCAAATATGAATTAAATGTCTTGGGTTCGATCCCCACAATCACAGCATTTTTATTCTATGAACTTATTTTGAAAACAAACTTCTCGTGGTCTTGCCGCAAGGTGATTAGTATCTCAAAAGTCATTCTGAGAACACTTTTTCCCAGGATGGATCCTTCTATAAAGTGAGGGTGTTCAAGGCTTCAAAAAGCAAGATGAAAGTTGTTTCATAATTGTCAATAATAATAAAATGAGATTTAAGATGGTGAAAGAAAAATATTTTAGTGAAGTTAGTCATCATTTTGCACTATTTCTTGTTCTTGAGATTTTTGTAGAATATCTCTTGATTCTTCAAAAGAGAATTTGATTTATAAACCATCTTCTTTATTCGTATCTAATGACATGAACTAAGTCTCATCATGCACATATCTTCTGTTACAAAATGCATCCTTAGCTTCATACATTTTATGGGGTTATTTGGTAAAATCTATCTCAAATAATTCTTTTGAAATTGTTATTTGAGTGTTAGGCGCTGATTCATCATTATTAAAAACTTGTGGTATATTTACTTATCATTTCATGTTGGCATTGTAAATTCTCTCACCACTTGGAATATATTAATTCATTTATGTGATTCTAATTAGAATTTATAACAAAAAGTTACCTATTGGTTACTTAAACTTCAAATTATCTTTTAAACGTATCATATAATATCAGCTCAATTAGAAAATTTCAAATTTTATTTTAAGTGAATATATTAAAAATATGTTCAGCTTAAGAGCAATCTCAAGATATTTATTTATACTTCTTTTTCTTACTTTTTGCATGCATTGTATTTCTACCAAGCATGAAATGGAGCTGTAACACACTGCTTATAATCTTATTTGTCAGGTATCAAACCTCATATCTTCCTCTTTATGTGTTCTGTTTTAATAACTACGATTTCTCTCACTCCATCTCTCAGAATGTTTCACTATTTCATGGAAAGCCCTGCTTCTGTAATATATAAAAGTCGCAGCTGGAATCTTCCTGATGATTTTTTGCTAATCACATGCATCAAGCGTAACAATCTAATTGGAAGTTTCTTTTTCGAAAGTCCCAGTCAATAACCATACCAAATGTTTAAGGCCCTGCTCTTGGCTGGTAGATGCAACCTTCTTATGGGATATACTGGATTTTTTGGGCACAATTCGGTCAACTCATTTTAGAGAGTTTTCATTTCAGTATTAATGAAGTAGGAAAGACAACTTTACGAGCTATTCTTGTACAATTATTTCCCCATTGCTGTCAAACGAGGTTTAAAAATTAATTATATATTTTGGGGTTTTGGGGTTTTGGGGTTTTGGGG